GGTACGATGTAAATTCTCCCCACCTGTGTTTCGCACCCATTCATCGTGGGGGGGGGGGGGGGGGAGGGAATTGTTTGGTGTGCCGAGCTGGTTACATTTTGGCTCTTGTAGCGTGGGACCCGTTTCGCTTTTGAGAGGGTGAAACTGGGGCCCAATCATTGGGCATGATCAGAAGATGATGGAAGCGGCACAGGTGTAATGCGATATGTTTGCAGTCATTGCTGCTCGAGAAATGGCGTAATATGATTATTTTTAGCGGATGCCGACGTCACCGAATTCGCCAACAAGGACGTCGCCAGCGAGGACGACCCAGGAAGCGTCGACTGCATTACAGCCTGCACTTGCGTGTTGCTACAGAATGGCACCTCCGGTTAACCCCACCTACCTCGAGAGGTAGCGGCTAATCCGTTTTGGGAAACCCATGACGTTCACCGATCCGCTTCTTCATGAATCGTTTCTAAACTAGGTTTCTTCTTTCTCGTACTCCCATTGTCTTCCTCACCACCTATAATCATCCCAATGCGCAACTATCAGTCCACCAACGCAAAAACAAAACAAAAACGTCAGCAACTCCCTCTGTAGAGCCTCCCAGCCGTCCGTCACAAGAAAGAAAGAAAAAGCAAAGCGACCTACAGTCCGACAAATGAAACCCGGGCGCCCCCCTCAGCACCTGCACGAGATTGAACACGACATACACGCCGGGCAGAAACGTGACGCACCCCAAGCAAATGAAGGCGATCGACGTCCCGCGGTCCTTATCCCTAAAATGCAGCACGCCGAGCAGCAAAAACATCAGCCCGATACCGAACAGCAGCACGGCCACAAGCGTAGTCCGCCACGGGAACGTTGTCCTGGCGCTGCCGTCCGCGCCGCGCTCGAACAAGCTCGCGTCGCTGAAGCGCGAGCGCGACGTATCGTATTGCTCCGCGGGAATCGAGTCCTGCCTCACGTGTTAGTTTCCGCTTGCCCGGGCACGCGCGCCGCGCCAGACGTGTGCAGCTGCCGTACATCTCGGTATGGGTCGCGCGAGCTCGAGCTCGCGCGCGAAAGCGACATCCGCCTGCCCGCCGGCCTGGCCGCTCGCATGGACGCTCGGTGCCGGGTTGGCGTCGTCGGGAATCGCCGTGCGTGCGGTTCGCACGCTGTGTGTCGGCGGCAGGGGGGGGTGGGGGGGAGGGGAGAAAAAAGCAAGGATGGAAAGGTGATGCGGTTACTTCCTCGCTGGAGGCGAGGCGCAACTGCGTGCCGGTTGGATACTGTATGTTGCGGACAAACGGGAATATGTCGCCAAATAGTGTAATTTCTATCTTTTCTCTTGCGTCGTTTTTCGGCCGTGCCATGGGCCCAATTTGAGACATAAGACCCGCCCGCGTCTAACACGCCACGAATCTGCGTTTACGTTCCTGCTTGTCTTGTCTGTACAGCGCAGTATTTTAAGCCACGTGTCGTATGGTCGCCTAGTCTAGCAGTCCTTCCCTTCACCTTCCCATTGATTGTTGACGGGGCAACGCTCGTACAACAAAGTCACCCCGTAGCATCTGAGACAGAGTTATGGGAGCTGGCAACACGGCTTGCGGGGGATGCAAACGGGACGCAGGCGGAGGATGAAGCTCGAGGGAGTTGCTGGTCCCAGCCAAGACAAGCAACCTCCCAGGAGGTTGCTTGTCTTGGTTCCGAAAATGCCGTCTCACGAGACCAAGAAAGTAGAATTCCTCTTTCAGTGATCCCTATGCAGACAGCTATATTTGCCGACAGCTATTACGATCTACTGGTACAGTAAACACATCTGCATGGGCAGACATTCGCCAGATTTTATTCCTACACTTAAACCCAGGAGTCATGTATGTATACCTTTCATATGTCCACATAGAGAAAATTCACTCTACAACGAAGCAGCACCTGTTTGTCAAGAGCTGTCCGTAGCCTCATCCAAGCTCCTCGCCTCATAACGCCATGGCGTGTTCCCAGAGTTCGGCGACCCTCCCTCTCGGTCTGGTATCGTCCTTTCTGGCACCACAAACTCCCGGCTGTCCCCTGACCGCGATATAGCCGCCAGAAACGGCAGGTACTGCGACCGCGACGTCACGAAAATCACAGCGCTCACCACGCATACAAGCCCAACGATCCCGACTACAGACCCCACAATGAGACCCACCCTCCCCCCTCCACTCCTGGCCCCGTCTATGGTGCTCGATGATGGGCTGGTGGTGGACCCGGATACGTTTCCACCCGCGACAACCGGAATCTTTGATGGCGTTTGCTTAATTGGCGCTGCGGAGATCGTCGGCCCCGCAGAGGGAGTTTGCACTTGTCCCGTTGATGCTTCTGCAACGGGTGTCGGTCCAGTCGTGTTCGGAGTTTGCATCGTTGGGCCTGCAACCGTAGGACGAGGGCTGGGGGTCTGCGATGCTTGTGGGTCCGGTAAAGGTTGCGGTCCTGCTGGTTGAACCACCGATGAAGGTTGAGGATCTGCTGTCAATGAAACAACTGCATTGTCAGCTTGCCCACTGGTGTCACCAACGGTGATTGGAGATGCGTCGATAGACTCTGCTGCGGGCTCCGGCGTGACGATAAATGAATCTTCGGTGCTGCTTGGCATAGGAGTAACAAAGATATCATCTGGTGTCGGCGCAATCTCGACCGCCGCTTCAGCGGTGTTTGAGGGAAGCACTTCACTCGGCCCCATAGTCTGTACCAGCGCGGAACTAGGACTTTCGTCGACCAGGGTTTGAATATGGACAACCAATGCTTGGGCATGGGAGTTCTGGTCCTCGCCCATGCCGAGAGGACACGGTGCGACCAAGTCTGCCACATCAACTCGTGGAGAAACGAGGCCGCGTAATGGCGACGAAAACTGTTGGGAAGCTGGTCGCACCGGATAGCTTGAGGCAAAGTGAAAAACCACGGAAAAGATGAGGAGGCGACGGATGTGGTAAGGGTTCCGATGAGGAGAGGCAGAAAGGGGGGATCTGTAGAGTTCATTCATTCGACATGCGGGAATTGCTGCAAGCATGAAGGCTCGTGTACCGCATGTGAGCGGGATAAGAGTTAGTCCGGCAAAGTGCGCGCATGCCACCGTCCAACATTTGGAGAACGCGATGGCACAGGGAAGCAGTCATGGCCTTTCATTTCTGACGGGGCCTCCGTTCTTTCGGCGAAAACTGTTCCCGCGCAGGAGGACTGTCTCTGCCTCGGTGCACCCTGAACACTACTGGGACTGTTTTATTGCGGGGTGGGGGAGAGGCGCGTAGTAGACCGTTTTAATATTTCGAGAGCCAGAAACGTGTCCCAATTTAAATCCGCGTCTAATTTCAACCCCATCCTGACTCCCAATCTGCTGGTCTGAGCTCCCACCGTAAAGCGAGCGGATCCGAACTTGCAAAAGGGCGGGAACAGCCACGACTCTCGCTTGCATCACCGCCGCAATCGAACAAGGCCCTTATTTGTGACCCTGTATCCCCCGCCTTCTGCGTTGCCACCAAAACACGCTTCAATTCGGACGTTTGCGTGCGTAAGGCCCCGTCGTGTCTGGCTTTTCCCGCCCGAGTTTCGCCGCGCAACTTGACACCGGAGCAAAACTCTCACATAGTTTTTACGTTGTCGGAAAGGGATACAACCATGGAAAGGGCATCCCTCGAGACCATGAATACAGTGGCTTTCTTGTCCTCATTGCCCATATCACTATCACAGTCGCACCCACGTCATCGCGTATTCTCAGGGCAGGCATGTATTCCCGTGCGCCAGTATTACGACCACTACCGAATAGTCCGAAGAGGACGAGCTCCGCACCGGTATATGCCCTTTCAAAGCCCTGCAGTAGCGCCGACTGCTTTACTTGCGGACTGGTTGTTGTCTAACAAGGCTACTATTAACGAAAATCTCGTGTTGACGCCGACGGACTCGCGCTCAAAACTCGGTATCTACTTGGCAAAATCGGGAAAGGGCGTGCTGAAAAACACCGAACTCGCCTCCTTTCCTGAATCTGTGTTTCTCTCGTCAAAAACAGCTCGCTCCTCTCTGGAAGCAGAGGTCAGCGCTTTGAAACAGTGGTCCGGAGCTGACGACCTGGCTCCAGCATCGTGGATTGCTTTACAACTACTATATGAACGCGCGAAGGGAGACGGCAGTTCAGTCGCCCCCTTAATTAAATCCATCCCCGGTCCGGGAGAGCTTGACGCGGCAACTCTGTGGCCATCTGAGCAACTTGAATGGCTCAAAGGCTCACTCGTGCACGACCGCTTGCTTGAAATTGCCGGAGGTGTGCTAGAAGAATGGGAAAAAATAAATAGTGAAGTGGGAAACCAGCTGTTTCAAGCTCCTCAAGCTGATTTCTCACTCGATTTATACCGATGGGCAATCGCTCTAGTCGACGCACGGAGCTCATCTGTATCGAGTGGGAAGGAACTAATTTTTGCTCCTGTGGCGTCGCAAATGAACACGGCAGTCAGTCCCTCATCACGGTTGGAAACAGGGTCCGCGGGTATGTTTTTCAGTTCCAAAAGGAAGGTCAAACTCGTATCGCAACAAGAACTGCAGCCTGCGGACGAGCTCACGCTGTATGCTGGCGCATCGGTTCGCAATGCTGATTTGCTAGTTGAGCGTGGCACGATTCTCCCAAATTCCTCTGCCAACACCGTGGAAATGGTATTTGCCCTCACAACAATGGATCGGTTTTACGAAGATAAGGTGGAAATTCTTGAGCAATACGGCGACGACTGTGGGATCCCATCACAAGCTCCTGCCGCCTTTGATCTGGCAGCTACAGACACAGCAGTGTGGGAGCCCCCAGAAATGCTAGACGTTTACCTGCGTCTACTCTGCCTTGGAACTGGAGACGCTTTCCTGCTAGAGTCCGTCTTCCGTAGTGAAATTTGGGATCATCTCTCACTACCGATAAGCCCCGACAATGAAAAAGCCGTATGCGACACGATTATCGGTGCGTGCGAAGATGCTCTAGACGGGTACGTCATGTCAGAAGATTCAGGCTATGACGGTGATGCTGCAGATACTGTCGCAGCGCAGCGATGGGCGATGGCAAAGGGACTCGTGGCTGCCGAGCGTGATATTCTAAGGCGTACCGTTCAGGCTTACAAACGTAGAGCCGCTTCTCTAGATGTCATCGAATACTACGCAGAGCGGAGACTGAAAGCACTAGATTTACTACGACCTGTAGATGAAAGTGAGATTGTTGATGCCGAAAGTGGAGCTCGTGTTGGACGAGCGTTTGACGAAAACTATTAAAACTGGACAGTCACATGGGAAGAATTCTTTCCACATGACACCGCACGATGTCATGTGGAATTGGTGATCCTGTCCGGATAGCTACGGTGCTCTTCACACCGTTTCCGTAGAGCTTTGTTTGAATTTCGAACCTTTCTGGGGAGGCGGGTCGGCGATGGAAGAGTATATGATGGCGCTTCTTGGGCAGCGTGGATAAGCAAGCAGTCCAGTGTTGCACAACGCTTTTCTCGAAGAGATATTTCGGCTTAAGACATGCATTCACCAAAAAGAATATTTGAGCAGTCACAGAGCTTTGCTTTTGAAGTGCGGATGAATTTGGAATTGAGAAACAGGTACAGGGGGGGGACGCGCAATAGTGCCGCTTTCATTATTGCCACCCTCGAATTAGTGCCGCAAAAACCGGCAGACACAGGTTCTGCCACGTGTCATGCACGACGTCGTCATCGGCCACTCCTCATGCGCCTCAGCTCAATTGGTGACGTGATGGCACCTCACTCAAAGACCCTAACATGACTCCTGAAAAGATCGCCAAAGCGAAGCGTACGCGCTTTACGATTGCACAGAAAATCGAGGTTGGGCATCTGCTGCAGGTCGGGAATGCGAATACCACAGTTATGCGTCAGTTCAAAATTTCAGAGCGAACCATCCGAAACATCAAACGATCTCTTCCTTCACTCCAACAAATTGTGACCAACACCGCTACAACGCTCGGAACAAAGACTTTGCACTCTGCGATGTGGAGGAATGGATTGAGATCGAGACTAATGAGCTTGTGGCAGAAGCTTCTATTGGTGATGCTTGCGATTCAATACATTATGGTGGAGAGCTACAGAAGCGGTCTGCCAGTGATGCTATGATGGATGATTGTGTGGCAGAAGGCGAGTGTGAAATTACGGAGAGGCGGGCCGTACCGAGTGCTGTAGTGTTAGCAAGGTTGTTTGGGTCTTTGGAGAGTCTGGGTGTGGAGTGCGATGTGAGCAATGCCTTATCGCACTTGAGGTCCGCAAAACGAGCTTTTCTAGAAGCTAGGCATGAGAGACAGGGTCAAAGGCAACAACAGCAGACTCTAATAACAGTTCTGGCCGGGTAGTGATTCTGCTTTCTGATAGTGCCGCTCCGAATTAGTGCCGTATTATTAGTCCCTACAGAGGGCGGCACTAATGCGTAGGGTCGACTGTACACGTACAGTACAATGGACCCTACTCATTAGTGCCGCCCCGTGCGAGACCCTAAAAATGGCACTATTGGGAGACGGCATTAATCGGTGACGTCGTCACATCTTTTTCATGCACTCGGTGGTTATTAGCGTCTGCCAGCTCCGGGTTGGGTCTCTGTCGTGTTTTGCAGTGAGAAACGCGCGCTCTATGTTTGTAGTACCTAGATGCGCCTTGTAGCGATTTGGCCTCATGAAACAGGAGGTATTCGTATGGTACAATCAAACTGTAGGCCCCTCGGCGAGCACAGCGGGACGCTTGTCGGCGGACTGGGAACCATCCTGGTTTGGTAACATTTACAGCCTAGGCGATATTGAAACTGCAGTTGAATCCAGCATGATAAGCACGAGGTGCTGTCAATACGAAGAAACCTGGCTTGCGCCGAATACGATAGCATTCAATCCCTCGGCTATTCAGTTCCCTCGGATCAAATATGGTTGTCTTGCACATCAGATATCTCTGTGCAGAACGTTAGTCGTTGGCCAACCGATCATTAAAAACACTCCCGGCAGCATATGTCTCGAAAGCTTCTGCGTACTTCGGAGGTATAGCGTACAAAATCTTACCAGCGCTTCCGCGGTGCAGGTAGGAAACTGAATTCAAAAAGGCATCCTCGGTGTGCCAACAAAATCGCGTAAACATGTGACCGACGTAGAACATTGAGTGGTTCACTCCCGGCATACGCGGCATGTGACGCAAAACACCTTCCATGTTGGGATTGCCGACATGGTACTTGGGGCCGGGAAAGTCGGCAAAAGAGGTTTCTAATTTTCGCTTTCGTTTCTTGCATCGCTGTGCAGAGGGCTTTCCAATACAGTGCCTCCTACGATATAGTGCTATAGCGTGACATACCTCTAGATATGGCACTATTGGAGGGATGGCACTATATAAAGGAGGCTGATACAGTATACATATATTTGGGAACAAAGCACACGCAAAGCACAAAAGCCAGTAGAACACAACTAAAAATGTAGAACTTCAATCCTTTGAGTATGGAGTACCCAAGGGTACTGTACTCGTCGCCATATTTTCCAGCCGTCGCACCTCCATATCGTAAAACTGAACCATGCCAGATGATACACGTATGGGCTTATGATAACCTGTGCCAGAGGGGGAGCCATAGCACTATATAGAGGGAGGCACTACTAAAGTAGGCACTATTGAGCGACCCCCCCTGTATTCGAACGCTTTCTCTCATCCTCATCAATGTTATCTTCTGTTTTGGCTGGGGCGCTGGTCATAGTGGCTTCAGCCTTGGAGGCTTCCTTCGTGCCTCCCGGTACAGGGCGCTTCTCTTTTTTAACCAGACGACCGGTATCATCCATGCCGTACCATTCCACATACGACTAGTGTCTAGGTGACAAATGACCTCATATGAGGTCACTTTTCAACTTATTTTTCTCGACTTGCGCTAGCTCAACAAGATGGAAAAAAGATACTCTCGACACGGCAGTTGACTTCTGCGTTGTGGAAGGGTGGAGTTTGGTGAGATCTGCACGTCTTCTCCAGCCATTTTTGAAATGCCCAAAAAGGAGCCTTTTTTGACCAACCTCAAAACGTTTTATGTTGATATCTTCGAAACCAAAACGCCTGTTTAAAAAGTCAACTCATCATTGATACTTCATTAGATTCTTAGTCTCTCTGTGCATTGACAACCGCCATCCCAATGTTTTGCAATATGTTATTGCCGAGCGCGTATACGTTAAAGAAATGGTGTCCAAACTGAATGTTTTAAAGTTTCGATTTAATTTATATATTTTTGCAAAAAAAAAGCTGGCCTCATATGAGGCCATGACTGACCTCATATGAGGTCAAATTGCTTGTCGTCTAGACACTACCCTTCTGGCAGGGTCAAATATGGACATGGCTTAATAATGGACATCTTACCTGTGATGTTGCCAGCCGCTGTAACAACGCAACTTGTCAAACTTGCACTGGTTAGGCAATGCGACACAACCAATCACACCGCTTCAGATCTAATTTGAATGATCCACCTTATCACACTCTCGGTAAACTTTGAATGTCTGCATAGCCCGCCCTTTCTACTACACCCATCTCAAGACTGCAACACACAAAAAAATGCCGCTATCCATGCGAAAACAGACCCGGCAGATCGCCAGAAAAGACCAAAGCAAGGAAGAAGTCGTCAAAGCAAGACTCGAAGCTGTCAAGCTACTCAGCAAAAATGGCCTATTCGTAAAGTGGCCGAAATGAGCGGCCTCAAAAAATCGCTTGTAGGCAATCTCAACCTGACTTTGAAAAGGCTTGGCATTGATGCTACGCTTCAGGCAGTGCAGACCGAAGGTGCTGGTTGTGGTCGACCTACTGTGTTAACGTACATAGAGGAAAAGATGATATGCGAGCGGCTTATCACGGCAGCCCAGAGAGGATTTGCTGTTGATAATGCTGGACTCAGATACATGATGTCACAGATTGCAAACGATGGCCGCCAAAGATGGCGAAATAATTGACCTATTGATGATGCCATTCGTTCGTTCCGGGCACGGAACAGGGAGGTATGCCTTCGAAAAACAGAAGAAAAGGAAAGTTTGAAGCTAAGAGGTGAGAGTTTCGAGCATGTGCAGACCTTTTTCGACGAAATGCAATGATTGAACAGTTGTCATCCATGTATTTTGTCTGATCCAGACAGAGTATGGAATATGGACGAGACGGCAGTTGAGACTGCATTTGGTCGGAAGACAAAGAGCTATGCTGACAGTAGGTCTAATCACGGCGGCTCGTTTATCTCTAAGTCATCCTCTGGCAACGGAAAACATGTAACCTCTTTGATAGTAGCATCTGCTTCAGGCCGCAAAGCTCCACCAGTTTTTTTCATTGCTGGAAAGAGAGTTATGGCTCAGTGGCTGGAGCCCATTACTATACCATCCAAACGATGCCTAACAGAGCTTACGCGTAGCGACCTCACGTTCTTGACAAAAGAGGAGTGGTTTCTGCGAGATGGGGTAATACAGTGCATTAAAAATGGATCAAGTGAGCAGCAGAACATACATAAATTTCATTGAGCATTTCAATAGATTTGTCAGAACTGTGGTCCCACAGGACGTGCCTATTGTTCTAACCCTTGATGGACATAGCTCTCGTGGGGGGGTTTTGTGGTTGCAAGCGCGTCAAAAGGTTGAGGAGAAAATGGAGAGAGAAAAGCAAAAGGCGGCCAAGGCTGCACATCGGGCCCATGCGGCTGTGGTGAGAGACCAGAGAAGGAACGACCTCGCCGCGGCAAGACAGCGCAAACAAAAGCACAAAGCTGAGATGAAAGTGGCCTCTGCTGCTTTGTTGTCGCTGAGTAGGGCGCAGCACAGACCTAGAAGCCGAAGATCAATGACAGCTGCAAGGATAGTCCATAGCATCATCATCGGGGTGCTGCAAACGGTCATGAAGTAATCAAAAGGATGTGTCCAAAATAAAACCACTTTTTTTCTACTGCTCAGTCGATGTGGATAATTTGTGGCTACGTAATGCCTCTTAGCAGTTGTTGGAAGCCATTGAGAGGCTCTGAGACTGAACTCCACAGTGATGTGATTGGCTGAGAGCCGTTTATGGCCTGGTTGTGGGGTTCTTGCATCCAACATGTAAAGAACGGCTTACATGTCCAAACTTGACCCTGCCAGAAGGGTAGCCCTTTTATGCCCCTTCAGTCTCCACGTCAACACCGTAATTCACCGCTATCGGCTTCCCATGAACGCCCTTGTGTAGAATCTCCCAGAAGAAGCCTTCCAACACAGCTGGGTTCCGTGCCCAAACCTCGTCTGCTTTCTCTTCAATATGACGCAGTACGTCCTTGTTCACTCGCTTGTCATGAACCAGAGCCCTTCGCATACGCTCACTGAACGTCATCGCCCTGCTTTCGTATGCTCGCAGTGATATCGGCTTTGGCGAGTCCTGGAATGTAGGATACTCCAATAAACGACCAGATTCACCCTGAGCCCACTTGCAGAGGCTGACGTGATCGCGACTCGGCTTTTTTGCTCGTTTCATGAGGCGAGGATTGCTGAAGAAGAAAAAAAAAGACAGAAAAGATAGAACGATGACAAAAAATATAACTGTGAAGCAGAGAAATGACATTTCTCTGCTTCACCGTTCTATCTTTTCTGGTTTTTTCTTTTTTTATTTGTTACAGTCTAATAAACTACACATTGTGTAGTTTATTAGACTGTAACCTTAAACTAAACAACTAATTACGAAAGTAATGGTTAGAGCTGCGGGGCATCAGCGGGCGAGCTGTACCCTGCGTTCCCATCGGATAGCCAGGCTGTCCCTTTTGGAGGCTCATCATAGCGCCATCAGTCCTGACCCAAACTTGCTGCAGCTGTTCCTAGACGTTAGTCTAGTCTAGGTGTAAGCAAGAAAAAAGGGGATTCCTCGTTATTACACGTGTTCACTTTTTTCTGTAAAGTACACGTGTTCACTTCTCCTTATGAGGGGAACGGGGTGTGAGGGGAACGGGGTGGTGCTGAACTTTTCTGTTCTGTAAAGTAGTAAAGTACACGTGTTCATTTCTCTTTATGAGGGGAACGGGGTGTGAGGGGAACGGGGTGGTGCTGATTTTTTTTTCTGTAATAAACTTTTCTTTTCTGTTTCTTTTTTTGGGGGGAACGGGGTGTGAGGGGAACACGGTGGTGCTGAACTTTTTTTTTCTGTAATAAATTTTTCTTTTTTGTTTCTTTATTTTTCTCACTTCTCTTTGTGAGGGGAACGGGGTGGTGCTGTCCGCACGGCTGTTCGCAGAGGTGTAATATTGCAGGTTGGTCTCCCGCAAGCGCGTATAGCAGAACAGCCGCCGCGAGCTCAGTAGCACTCTCGATTCTGTAGTACAAACAAAACAGCACGTAGTTTAAAATTAGAGTAGTTAGAGCCTCTCCACCAGCACAGCCCTTTTCGGGTCCAAGTTCCAAAACTTGTGAAACCTGTAAAGCTGTGATAGGAGGAAAACGAGATTTAAATTTTGGGATTTTTGGGTTCATCCAAGGATGACACGTTTCCATTGGATTCCATGCGCTGCTCACTGGGCACATTGTTTTAGTGCGGAGTCCGCATCTGAACTCAACCAGCAAGCAGTCACATCATGTCTGCTGCTCGTGCTTTCCTTGATGAAGGTGTAGAAAATGATGCAGAGGACTACGCAGCAGCTCTTTGGCTACATATGGTAAGCCTCTGTACTGATGGGGAGACAAAGGGAAGTCATGGCGGATCTACTCCTGGAAAGGCTGGGAACATTAAACGCGATTTCCATGGGGCACACAAGCACTATATGGTCAAATACTTCTGGCCAAGCGACATGATGCGACCAGGTACTACATCCTACGGACCACAGCAACCCGAATCAGCATTTGAAAGGCGATTCCGTATGCCTCGCGATGTCTTCAATAGTGTATTGGAAGTCACAGTCGCACACTCAGAATATTTGCGAAAGGGTCTTCGCCCTGATGCGCTTGGCAGGATGGGGATCAGTCCCCTTCTTAAAGTCATCTGTGCGATGTATCAGCTTTCATATGGGATACCAGCTGATCTTGCTGATGACCTGTTTGAAGTTTCAGAGACGACTGCTTCCCTCTGCTTGACAGAGTTCTGTTCGGCGGTGGTTGATGGTTTTAGGTCGGAATATTTACGACAACCTACACAAGAGGACCTGGGACGAATAGAGCGCAGGTTTGCAGCGGTTGGATTTCCAGGGTGTATTGGTTGCCTCGACTGCGCTGGTTGGGACTGGAGAAACTGTCCGAAAGCGTTGCAGGGAGCCATGATAGGGAAAGATGGAACGCCAACGCTGCGTATGGAGGTAATCTGTGACCTGGATCTCTGGATTTGGTCGTTTCAGTTTGGTCTACCAGGAGTTCTAAATGACCTCAACATACTTGAGGTGAGCGAGCACTTCTCACAAGTCCTCAATGGTCGGTTTCCACCGGTTGAACCGTCATACAGCATAGACGGTAAGGTTTTCAACTGGTTCTACTATTTGACTGACGGCATCTATCCGTGCTGGAAGATATTTGTCAAGAGTCTGTCAACCCCGTCGTCTAGAAAGGAGAAATTGTACTGCAAGCTTCAGGAAGGTGTTAGAAAGTGTGTCGAGCGTGTTTTTGGTGTGTTGTTCAGACGCTTTAAGCTTCTGTATTTTGCGTGCGAGCTGTGGAGTGTGGAAAGAATGAAGACTATTGCCGAGGCTGCAGTGATTCTCCATAATCAAATTGTTGAAGCTCGACGGGACTCGTACTGCAGCGATGGTGCTGGTGGACTGAGCGCAAATTTCAACTCGGATGACGACGAAACGGACATGGTGATAGAAAGCGTTGGGGCGATGAGAATCTTGGAAACAATGTCACTTGCTTCAGAAGGTATCAAGGTGAAAGGGTTGCATCGCAAGCTCGTAACGGCACTCATAGAACATGTTTGGAGCTTTCACGGCTCAAGTTAGAAGCTGTGTAGGTATTTGGCAGGGCGTAAACTTCGTTCTTCGTCTTCCTTTCTCCCTGTTGGTTCGTTGTTCTCGCGGACTCTGCTCGTCCTAAGCGGAGACTGGGACAAGCGGAGTCCGAGCGAAGTGCGGGCCCATGCCGGGCTCGACGGATCTGGGACAGTCGCTCGGAGAACAGCGAACCAACACGGAGAAAGCAAGACGAAGAACGAAGTTTACGGCCTGCACAATACCTATACGGGTTCACTGTCAGGAGAAGATCGGGGACTGTTCGGAACATTAAATTGCATTGAAAGAGATGTAGCTTCAACCTCTAGCTTATCATGAAACTCAATCTCGGCGAGTGCTTTCCTTTGAGCCGCTTTCAAAAACCTTTCCCGCAGGGAGGGATCAGTACCTTCCATAGAAAAAAGCTTCATCAACGCGCTTTCTCGCTCTACTTTAACTAGTTCTTCGGCTATTTTGTTTCGTTTCCGCGACGCCTCTGCAAGGGCGTGAATTCCATCAGACCCGTGGGCAATGGCTGCGTTACGTTTCGCCATCTCGCGCGCAGTCTGCGATTTCTTCACGCCGACAGGGCGCTTCATGTCTGACCCTTTCAGCTCCACTGTTGCGTCCTGATTGCGACTCGTAGATCGCGAAGGTGAGTTTGAATCTTGTACAACCAACGCCGCTTCCTGCCCACCAACTGTCTCCGTGTTTACTCCATGAATGCCTTCCACTGATTGTGTCAACTCCTCTACAACCCCAGGTGCTCGCAGAGGTTTAAATTTGGACAGACAAATCAGTTGCCAGGTGTGCGTCGTTCGAAGATAGTGCAGACACTGGGTAAATGCGAACGGCGGGCCCACGCCAAGAGTTCTGTCATTGAAATAGGAGTACATATTACCTACTGTTGCGTCTCCGTTATACACTGCGGTAGCGGCCCGAAACAGGTCGTCATCACCTGGTGAACCTGTGGGATTCTTGCCGTTGATAGACGCAATGATGCCCTCCATCTTCAGGCATTCACATCGCACTTTCTTGTACCGTTGTACTATGGCTTCCCCTGTACGGTCCACTGAAAGAAATGGGCACTCTGAAGTGTCTTTCTTGATTTGTGTGAACGCATCATAGACCTCTGCCGCGAACTTGTCCTTCTTTTTCCCGTTCCCACGTGTGCTATCCTCTGAGGACCTGATGAAGGCTTTGCAAGCAACAACACTTTCATCATCCGTCCATCCCTTTCCGGCGCCCATAGTTGTGTGATTCCCTCTTTGAGAGACAGACGCAGGGAAGCCATGCTTGTGTGGACCGCGCCGATGCACTCTTGTGCTTTGGAGTTTCGGTGGTATTGCTTCCCGCCATTTCGAGTCCAGTGTTGGACCAATGGAAGTGGTACAACAGTGCTACTTCGGCTTGGATGTTGAATTGGATCCTGGACAAACAGGGTCCAAATATCCTGCATTTGGACCCTGTTTCGAAAAACTCTAATCCAAGTTCAAAGCCAACTTAGATTGAACTGCATGGGTGGGCGAGCGATTTTTTCATATCCTGGTTCCAAGTCTAAAATTTGCATTGGACCTGCAAACTTTAAGCGAGTGGAGAGGCTCTTACCACGCGACAGCACAATCAGTAGCGACACAGCCACACAGCGACGATGGCAACAGCGACAAACCAGTCACACAGCCCTCACAGTCGCGGCAACGGATCAGTTGCCTCTTGCTCAACACCCCCTGATGTTGATGATGTGCTCTCTTTTCCTGTGGGTGTTTCCACTCTTAAATGGACGGGAGGCTGCTCCAATTCTACACTCTCCCAGGTCCGACGCCCCTTCACGCTCCGCATTCTCTTTTGACCCGATGCTCGCACGCCCATTCATCCGGACACCGACACTCCTCACACACGATCGCTGCAACCTCTTTGATACTCCCACGCCCGTCCCTCGGTACTTCGTACGCGCCCGATCGCTGTAGCGGCTGACGAGTTCAATTCGAGATGTACCCACATTGGCCTGCGGCCTGCTGACAGGGCGTTTTGGTCTGAAATCGGGACACCTGCCGCGCAGTGTAAGCTCACTGCCACGACACAGACGGTGTAAGCCTTCCATAGACCGCCCGGCATGCGCAATTGCAACAGTACCCTTGGATACTGTTCAGGTCATAAGTTGAACCGAAGTCTTGGCGCCAACCCGCCTGAAAGGTTTATACTGTACAGTCACACCCCAATACTGTAATGTATTCAATATTTTTCAGGAATCGCAATAGAAACCTTTCTTTTTGTTTCCTTTTTCTTTCCCCGGAAACGTGTAGGACTCGCGATGCGTGCATCGCAAAGAATAAGATTTTTTCAGGTGCGCGGTGGACACGTGGACAAGGTTTTGGATTGTTTGACTTTCTTTCAAAGTTTCGGTTGGTTTCGGGGGTTTTGACTTAGAGGTTCTAATTGGCGCTCTGTCTTAGTCAGGTTGGGGGCTCCGGTGGTCAGACGGTTGTTGTGCCTGCCTCTCGAACTTCCCGTCGCTCCGAACCGGGACCTTTATAGAACTCTTGAAGGTAGCTACTCTACAGGTAGAATAGCCTAGACTACACTAAAATCGAACTTTTCCATTAAAACCCATACTAAAATGCCTCTTCTGGCCATGTTCCCACTCCTCCTCCCGTCTCACCATGGTCCTCGTCGCCTGCAGGATCCCGTTCGGATTCTGCCGGCGCTGACCGGGTCGTCCTCGGGGACTCTTTTCGGTATAGAGTCCCCATTTCTTGACAAAGAGGACGACCTCTCGGTCATGGTGAGCCCTGTAGTGACACGTGTACTGTACTGTACAAGTCAAGTACAGTACCTCCCTGCCCTGCTCAGCTCTTAATTACAGTCTAAAGTTTACTGTCAAGAGGCTGAGTGGGACTCGATCTTTACAACTCCTTCCTTTCAAAACATTATTCGTCCGCGAATAAGTGATCGCTGTACGTTTGAATGAGGTCTGGTGTGATTGCAGGGTCGTCCTTGTCTATCCATGTGTCGTCAATTGGATTGGTGTTCCTGAAGTGCACAAGGAACTGTACTTGTCCGTCGTATATGCGAGAAGTAATAATTCTTTCAATGAGTTTCTTGTCTGCGGTTGTATGGATCTTGAACCTGGTTGGTTCTTGTCGTCTGTTCGGGTCTTCTTGGTATGGTTTCAAAGGCGATATGCGAAATGTTGGATGAATATTTCGGTATTTCAACGGTAGTTCTAATCGGTATGCAGTCCCACTTGCTAGGACTTCCAATACTGTGAATGGTCCGATGTATTTCGGAGCGAACTTCTTGGTTCTCCCTGGATTGATTGGTAGATTCTTGGTTAATAGCATAACTTTGTCGCCTATCTTGAATGTTAACTGTTTTCGATGTGTATTAATTGTGTCGGTGCTTCTTGCGTTGGCTTGGTTGATTGATTCTTTTGCGAGTTTAGTTGCAGTGTCAAGTTCCTGAAGAAAACGATCTGCAGAGGTGTTACTTGAGTGCATGTTTTCGCTTATATCTGAATGAGTTATATCAGATATTGCGAAAGGGTGTTGACCGTACTCCAAAAAGAATGGTGTTTGGCGAGTAGAATCGTTGACATGATTGTTGTAAGCAAATTCTACTCCTGGTAGATATTTTCCCAGTATTTCTGAGTGTAACTTACATAACAGCGTAACAATTCCTGACGTGTGCGAAATGCTCTTTCAGACTGTCCATCAGTCTGTGGATGAAATGCTGTTGAGAAGTTAAGTTTAACTTTAAGCACTTTCATAAGTTCAGTCCAGAAGGGCTCTGTGAATCTTGTGTCTCGATCTGATATTATTTTTCGCGGTAGTCCATAGTGTTTGTAGATTTATTTGTAGAACGTTGTGGCTATGGTTTGGCGCTGTTGTCCGATCCGAGTGGTGTAAAGTGTGTTCGTTTTGATAGTTTATCTACAACGGCCATAATTGCGGTTTTACCGTCCATTGTTTTAGGTAAATCGAATATGAAGTCCATTTAAATGACTTGTCATTTCTTAGTTGGAGGTGGAAACGGTCTTAGGTTTCCAAGTTGGTTCTGAGTTGAGCTCTTTGCCTCTTGGAATTTAAGGCATTTTTCACGTAATTGTGGATATCTTTCTTCATAGTTGGCCAATAGTAATGCTTTGGTATAAGGGAAGTCGTTTTATTACTTCCTCTATGCGATCCAGATAATGATTCGTGGTTATCTTGTAATATGGTCCTTCGGAGTTCTCCTTTTGGTATGCATAGCCTTTTTTCGAAATACAACCGTTGTCCCGTTTTTGTATAGGGCTCTACTGGGTCCTAGAATTTTTCTTTGAACGATTCGTCGTTCTCATAGTCTTCTTGTACATTCCGTAATGTTTCTTGGCTTGCATTCACCATTGTGAATGCCATTAACTGTTTTACTATATTTGATGATGTATGATGTACTTCTCTATACTGTCGAGATAGTGCATCAGCTACGACGTTTGATTTTCCTTTGATGCAATCAATAGAATAGTCGAATTCTTGCATGAATTCAAGCCATCTTGCTTGTCTTCTAAATAACGTTTTCTGTGTATCCAGATATTTTAACGGATGATGATCAGTCATGATCTTGAATTTAGAACCATGTAAGTATGGTCTCCATGTATGCAGGGCATATATGATAGGTAAGAGCTCTCGCTCATGCGTACTATATCCTTGGTCTGCTGGATTCAGTTTTCTAGAAGCGTATGCCACAGGACGACATCCGGATTCGTCGGTTTGGGTCAGTACCGCTCCGACACCTGTTTGAGATGCGTCTGCAGTTAGTTGATATGGCAGATTTGGATCTGCGCATCTTAGCACTGGTGCTTCTGTTAATCGCTGCTTTAGCTCCTGAAATGCTAAAGCTTGCGGCTTTATCCCATTTGAAAGGATTATTCTTTCGAGTAAGGTTTGAAAAAGGGGTCGCAATTGTTGCCAAGTCTTTTACAAACCTTCTGTAGTAATTACAAAGTCCTAGAAAGCTTTGCACTTGTGCTACGTTTT